TCTGAAGCTCTATAGCAATGTTAATAAACATTCAAATTAGTAAGTTTATGAATTAAGGGATTAAAGAACTACAAGTATATATTTATGGTGATGGTGATAATGTTTATTTTGCTATTTCGTGTATAACTTTGTTATTGCCGTTGTCGTTTTAGTATTATAAACTTATAGCAGCCAAGGCAAATAATTTCAGAGTTAGATATTTACAACTTTTTATGAAAACCATTTAGGTTAATAAAACTATATGTTATACTGCATCTGTGGATAAAACATCGTCTACGTTGATAATTCAAAGTGTCCGCTATACCGTCGCTACGGTATCACATACATATGTATTGACTATGGGTAAATATATTCATTTCTATAGATACGATCGAATCGTAAGTTTATAAGTACTGCATGAAAACCCAAAAAAATCTGTTATTTGAAAATTTTGAGATTGTAATATACAAAGCCACAAAACACAAAAAGACCGACCAACTGCGCCATCTGTTTAAAATTCCCTCCAAACTGTGTTTATTTCGAATAAATCAAAAAATAAGTGAAGTTATCAATAGGTCAGCGTTGTATTTTGCAAATTTCATGACATTTAGTATTTGGGCAGAATTTCGGAAATCATACTTTCACCCAAATTGTCACCACTTTTTCTAGCATAGCCTAGTTTATCTCTCTAATACTAAGACGAATGTTGTTTACAGCGATTTATCTGAATAGACTATTGACTTAATGCTTCCCTGCAGAAAGTTCTCTAAAATATTCAAATAGCATGACCTAGATGGCAAATCTGCAGACCCATTTCTTTATATAATTCGATCACCTAATAATGTTATCCGGCTATGAGGCTAAAAAACTTATATGAACCAATTAGACCCGCATCACTTACCATTACGGCACCATCTACGACTAAAAAATAAATAAAAAGCAATATAGCTTTCGACACGCAAATAACACTTCGATTTCGGAGGTGAACTTCGCAAAACGGACAAATTAATATTCTACTTAAGACTCAATCTCTCAAAAAGAAATGTATTTGGTCCAATACCTCCAAAAAAAAAAAGTGTTTGCCGAATAGTTATTGCTGTGTTGACAACGCTGGGGTAAATTTATCTCAGCTTCTTCTACTCGGTTGTGCCGTTTCTTCAAGTCCATAACCCTTGAAGACTCCATTTGAATTATAAAGAAGGTGCCATAGTGCGAGACTAGCTTCAATATATATTATAACATACCTTAGTTTTGTACCTAGTCGGTAGTCTTAGTCGTACCCCTTTTATCACCATCCCCCTAATTTTCTTTTGACTATAGTTAAAATGTTGTAAGACGGCATATAATCTAATAGTTTTTTCTTTCTCAATGAAAATATTGCCTTATTACATCGTAACATTATATTGTATAAAAGCACCTTGTAAAAATGTTGCATCTTTCGCACGATAAACGGGGCAAAAACTGCCAACCAACTAATTTGCAATTTTCATTATTTGAGCTTAACAAAGTTTACCGATTCGTTATATTTAATAGAAAAACTTTATTTAATTTAAAAACAAGCTCAAAAACAATAAATAAACATCCGCGAGGCAACTTCCACGCTTACGTTTTGAGAAGGACCGAAAATGTTATACTTATTTCTGATTAGAATACAACATTCTAAGAAAAAAACAAACGCACCTGAAACAAGAAAAAACGTTAAGTTCAGTTGCACCGAAGCTATAATACCCTTCACTTTGCATTTTTTTACGGCATAAAAGGTTATAAAAAATATTTATTTATGTTTTCACTCAAGGACTTGAGTTTGATCGGTCAGTCGTATGCCAACTACACATTCTATATGTATGTTAACATATATGCTAAAGCAGTCCGATCTCAACAATTTCTTCAGAGATTGTAGCGATGTCTTGGATAATAATCTGCTAAATTTTTTGAAGATACCTTGTCAAATGAAAAAGTTTTCCATACAAGCACTCGATTCCGATCGTTTACAAATATAGCAGCTCCTTTGAGAGAAAAGACCGTGTAAAAAATTTTAGATCGATATATCAAAAATTGAGGGACTTGTTCCCGTGTATGCAAACGGATATGGCTAAATCGACTCAGCTCGTCACGCTGATCATTTGTATATATAATATGTATAAATACTTTATAGGGTCTCCGATGTTTCCTTTTGGGTGTTAACATGCAAATATTGTGATCCTGTTTAAGGTATAAAAATGTTGAGAAGGGTACACGCAACTGTAAGCCGAGCATAGGGCAGAATAAATGGAATATTTTTGTGAGAAAAGAAAACGCTATAAGCTAATTTAATTGAATCGGCTTCAACCTCACAATATTGAAAATTTTTGGTAGAAAGGATCATTTCTCGATAAAGTTTTCCCACAAACTCTTTGTCCATATAACATTTGTTTATTAATAATACTAGATAAATAGATTAAGTGAAGCATAATATTAACATCGAGCCAATAAACACGTGTTTGAGGCATGAAGTAGTGGGAACATGCGTTGCGGAGCCTTTAGTGCGTCTGCTTTATTTATCTACGTTTCCTAGTGCGCCTATGAATTTAACGCCAGTTTTGAGCATTTCGTATAATTAGGGCAACGTGAACCACTACAAAAGTCAAGTGGGCATGTGGAAAATGAAGAGAACGTGTAAAAAGGCGACGCGTGCATTTTGGCAACGTGCAACAACCACGCACGCGGCAACAGTTGCTACATTATAAAAGACTGCGACAAGTTAAAGGAAAGCTACTAAATACACATAGAGTTAGTTAATTTTATTTATTAGTTTCATAATTGCGATTTCACCCGCGGCAGCAACAACAATAACATACATACCATATATGAGAAAGTAAACAGGATGGTGGTTGGTGCGTAGATTGGCGATTGGTGGCAGAGTGGTGCCGCATAGAACAAGCGCCTGAGTTAAAAGGCTGGTTACCTAACTTTTACTACGCACATGTTCACCATATATATATATGTATTTATGCCCCGAGGTGTGCTGCAACGCGCGTGTGAATACGCACATAATCTGTACTAAGCACAAGCATGTTACACGGCGGAAAGAAAAAATTAACATACAACAACAAAAACAACAATGGTGTAACATCGAACATTATGCGGATAATTAGTTGCCGAAAATGTACTGCTTACATATATACATGTGTACATAAATAAGATGCCACACATGTTAATGTCGCGCGAAAAAGCGTCGTTAGCGGAATGTGTTGGGGCACAAGGGGTTGGGCGGAGTTTCGAAAGCATTTCCTTACGCTTAGCAAGAAGGCGGCTCATTAGCAGTTACTTTCTCTAATTTTTGGTTTAGTTTTTTTACTTACATATATATGTACATATGTATTTAATGTGACAATAACAACAATGGAAATTTTAAATGAAGAAAGCATTCCAGGGTTGTCGGAATATTATTGTATTGCCGTGCCAACGAGACGCGACACCAACTCACAGTTGCCACATAAATAAAAATTATGACTTTCATAAGGCGCAAATGTGCTCAAAATCCTTTCTGCTCACGCTGTGTGTTTATAGGAATGTATGTACATACTTATGTGTCATGATGTATATAAAAAATCATATATTAAGTTTATTACTACTACATATGTACATACATATGTATTTCGTTCGTACATGCGTATTTAGTTATATTAGACCATACATTTCAACACGTGTACTGTACAACATGCGCACGCCGAAGTCTATAATCGTGTCGCGCGGCGCTAATGGCAGCCCCTAATGACATTTAACGGTATTTTAATGTTTGCGCTTGTTCATTACTCATATTTATAATAAATTCATTAAAGCATAGTAATTAAATCAGAGAAATTAATATGCTTGCCACAAATGTATGATTTTAAGTTTCTATTATATTTTTAGAGACACTATAATCACAGTTAAGGAAGAAATGCCTAGATTAATATATTAATCTTCAAACAAAAATTGTCGAGCGCTCTCGGTCGGTTAAGTTCCCATAAACGGCGAGATTTAAATAAAAAAAAAGAAACCATCAACCAATTCGAAACCTATAATGATATATCTATTATAAATTTTAAAATATAAAGGTTGTTTTCTTGGAGATATGGGACTTGTACTTACATATATCAAATGAAACATATAATTTTGCCTTTGAACTGAAACATAACTGCAAATAACTACACCACTTTGTATTACGAAGAACATACTGGCGGTCCAATTTTGCGTCACTTTTTTATTCACTGTGCCCTAGTAGCTATGTATTTTATCAGAGTAGTTTATTGAGTTGACATAGCACTGCAAAAGGTAGTATAATCGGTTAAAATCACATGGCTTAGGTAGCCAATTGGCTGGCTCGTGTCTTGATATTATTTGACTTATTGCACAATACGGTCAAACCCTTTACCAATTTGACGATTTGTATTGCTGTGGGGAACGAAAAGTAGCGCATCATTTGCCTTTAGCGCTCAGGCTGACGTAACATTTGCTCCATCTTCAGTTTAGAGAAAGTATGGATTATTAATGCCTGCGATATGCAGAACACACAAGACATTAAAGGGAGTGCAGAGGGCATTTCGGGATTGTTCGCATTCAAAATACGACATGTTTGATTTTTTAACGTCTTTGCACGAGGATTTGCCAAAACAAAAGCCGGTGTTTTTTGACACGCTCTCTATCTTTGTGAGAAATTTGTATTTCCTAAAAGGCCCATATAGTTATAACCGGAAAAGGATTAAAATTTTATTGAAGTTAAAATATATTCTGAAGGAAATGACGAATATTTTCAACTCTCATAATTTCAATAATATCTTCTTAAAAATATGAAAAATTATATATAAAATTGTTTGAGTATTAGAAACATTTTTTTTGAGAGTCCCCAAGCCTCAATTATTTGCACAAAAAACGAAAAAATATGTGCAATAAGAGCAATAAAATGCAGGAAAGTAGACGGATTATTTTTGATATGACTGATTTAACGTTTTATTTAATTAAACAGTTTTATACTCACATTGCATATTTTCTACTTACAGAAGAAGGAGGAAATACCCGAAGTTACCATGGCCCACAAAAAGGCTAAGGAATGGATTGTAGCTATGGCCAGGGCTAACTATCAGGATCTATCCAAACTGGCAACTGATTATCCCGAATTGGTCAAACTACACGTAAGTCATAAATTTAATTAATTTTATTGATTTATTTTAATTTCTAAGTTTCTAAAATTGTTCCGCATATCCATTGCCTTGATATCTGACAACTGACAAATGATCACATTAGCCACGGTCACTTGACAATTATACAGCTGTCAATGTGCGGTGCAAGTGAATATAAGTAGCTTGAGCAGTGTAGGTATAATTGTAGAAATTGATATGTATGGCGTCACTATGCAAAGTAAAGTACTCATTCATATTTATATGCTTCTTGTAGCCTACGATGTGTGGTTACTTTGACAGACACAACGGCACGCCTAAAAAAATAAATTTGAATTATTTTAATTTAACGGGTGTTTTTTTAGTCATGTAGTTTTCAATGAGGCAATACTTTTTTCGGAGTTGGGGTTTCTGACAGCTGTTACTTGATTTATACTTAGTTACGTTTACCATACCATACATTCATAGTAAGATATTAAAAAGCATATCGTGAATGTAAGTCACTAAGCGAAGTCCTGCGGACACATATCCACAAAAGTAAAATTTGCAATTTATGACTAGTCCTTGAAGTTTTTAATCTAGCCATATGCTAGACTTGAAAATATAGAAATTAATTCATAGTAACTTAATTATATTTTGCCATCAATAGATATGAAAAAAATTGAAAATTTGTATCCCAAATGAATTAACTCATTAAATTGGTATAACTTCTATCTTCAATGCTACCAAGTTGTGTTTTGCATAGTTTAGCTGACTTTTACTATTATTTTTACTGAAAATACAAATTTACTTTTTTTTCTTGTATTTTTAAAACATAAGACTTAAAATCAATTATGATAATTTATAGAAAATCAAATTAAAGGGTTACAGCAACGTTTTTTAACGCGAAAAAAAGGTTTTCTCCACTAAGAAAGAATCATAACACTATTGCGCATGCGTCAGAGGACATGTTGGCGCAGGGTTGCACCACAAGCGCTGCCCATTTGTTTGACCATCTTTTATAGTTTGTTCGATTCGCTGGAGAGTAACGCTTGGCGAATAGCATAGTTAATGAATTTTAAAAAGCACCTTATGCCAAGCGCCTAAGGAAGGACCCTGAAAAATTGACTTAAAAATACCTCTTACTATATTATAATAATGTCAATAAAGTGGATCTTAAGTGAAGTTGTTTTGATCCAAATTCCATTACTTCATATGTATTTTTAGTTGGTCTTTTTAGCTTTTTTTGCAATCAAAAATTGGCAATTAAGTCCTGCCATATAAATATTTGTAGTCGAAATAGGAGTCCCACATCTACTGAGCAATCTCATACATTCAACGCATTATAAGTTCCCTCCATTACAGCATTAACGGTTTGTAATGTCACATGTCGACTTGCTTGCCTTTAGTTCGTTGTGGTAATCAAGCAAATTAATTTGTAAAACTCTCAACTTTTGGCAGCAACCAATAATATACCCGTAATGAATCCATTGCGAATCAAAGGATCTGCATAAATATATTTGAATATGTGTGTGTGTGTAAATGCGACTTGCTGTTGACACTAATTTATTTCTCCGGGAGCCTACTTGGAAATGCATAAAAATGATTTATACCCATTTCCGCTTCATTGCCAGCCCAAATGATTCGAAGAATTGCAAGCGCCGCATAATTCGCGCATTTCACTGCTGCGGCAACTCCTTATTAATTGCAATTTCTCTGCATTTATAAATTGCAACCGCCAAGATTGCAAGCAAGCAAGACGTGTATAAGCGCATTCATAAGCGGGGCATACAATTCAATTGTGTCTCCTTGTTGGCAACGCATATTATTTCCGGGAACAAGAGATTTGTAGCCCAATTAGTTAATTCCACACAAAAATCTCCACATGAACTTGTGATCCAGCACAAGCTGCAGCTACAAACATAAGTATGTGTGCGTGTTGCTGCTACTTAATCCAAGATGAGCTGTCATAAGCGAGTTCCATTGAGGGGGAAATGCAAGCGCAAGCAGGCAATATTTCCCCCAAAGCGCCATAAATCTTCTGCGTAAGCAGCAAGTCCCACGGCGGTTGCGCTGTGATGCGAGTGGTGGTGTAACGGTGTCGGTGCTGGTAGCGCTGGTGTCGCTGCAGCATAAAAAATGAATTATGCGCCTCTTTATCGGCGTGAAATGCAGCAAAGATTCTAAATAAAGCGTAAAAACGAAAATTAAAAAATTAAGGGCGGCGTTGTAATTGAGCGACTGAATTTCAATGATGTAAATTTCTGTTGAGTGTAGTTGTTGCGCTGGCAGCGAGGGCAAATCCTAAATTTTGTGTGTCAACTATTTTATGAATATTGGTCTCATATGAACTGATAGAATTAGTGGCATTGTCTATCATTTAGAAAATTTATATTTTTATATATTGTACATATGTATGGATTTATATACATATGTATCTTTATACGAGTGTCTAAACAATAAATAATAAAACATCCCTCTATTTTTTAGGTTCTACATTTTATGACTTTGTTAAGTTTTTAATTGGCTATTGCTGTCAGCTTAGACATTTTATTATGTCATTATTTATAAATTTATAAGCAAAAAGATATAAATTTTGGTTTTTAAAGTTCTTTAGACTTTGTTATTTTAAATAAACTAAAATAATCTCGGCGAACTGGATATATTCGGCAAAGTAATATGCTTTGGGTTCTTATAATTAATTTAATTTTTTGAGTGTGTTTACTTAATGCACTTAACCTAAGTTGCAAATAAAGTCAAGTTAAGATAAAGTTTTGTAAAATTTGGAATAACAATAAGTTTACCTTTAAGAGGTTAAGTTAATAGAGAAATTTAAAAATGCGTTTTCAAGCAAACGTGTTGAAAGCTTTACGTACGGAAGCAGACTGACCAGATCGCTTCGACACTAGAGCGGATTGGAGAGGAAGACCTTTTTATTCCATTATTCTATTAAATGAAGAGTGTGTATAAGACTCCTAACACTACTTAGTCAAAAAAATTCGTTTTCTTAATCCTAAACTGGCTCCTTAATTATACCACCTTGTGAATACGAGTTTCCTAAATTATTCGTATAACGGTGCGCTACTGCTACTAACGGACCAATAGTCGTGATTTATGAAACTTTCTGAATTTTAAACACATAAATTCACCTTTGTTGGAAATAAACATATATAATGTAAATATGTTATATATAATATATATACGAGTAATCTTTAAAGCTGATTAACAGATTGCACAACGTGGTGTCCACTGACTAGCTCGTAGCAACTTGCATCAAAGACTTCTAATATATTGTAGCAATCGAAAATTCTTTACAGAAAATCATAAAGTATACAATATATTTAAAAAAATTTCGTACAAAAATAACATAGTCCGCAGTTTTTCAAACTCAAAGACAAGTTTAAACTTGAGACCTCACATGAATCAAAAGATTTCGACTGCTACTGAAAATCATGGGCGAACAGAAAGTTAAGGACTTGGTATTAAAATCAAAAGACTTGATTTAAATGTTAAATGTTATTCATTGAAATTATTGATAATTTTCGATTTTACTTTGCTCTTTTTTTCTAAAATGATAACATGAAAAATAAACAAAACAGCAGCGAAAAACTTATTTAAAATGTGAAATCGAAAATTATACGTCCTGAATTTTCTCGATCTAAGAAAAGTCAATGACTTATTGATGTCAATGATTTTGGATCACATGTTTTTTATGCTCTCGCAACATGTTGAGAGAGTGCAATAGTTTTGTTCACCTAACAATTGTTTTTAACACCTAAAACTAATCGAGATAGATTTATAAGTGATCAGGATGACGAGTCAAGTTGAATTCCGACAATGACTTTCTGTCCCCTCCGTAATGGACTACATTTTAGCCAAAAATATTTATTAATTTTTAATTGATTTACGTGAGTACCTGTCGGCGACGGAGTTACCTCACGGTGTTCCAAAACAACGTATCAATACAATGCGTTGATAAGCGCCCCAAACAATACGAGCTTTTTGCAAGTATTTATTTGGATACCAGTGGCAGTGTGTCTGTAGGTTTAAACCACAGCCACCACGATACTCCCCAAAGGGCCGAACCCAATGAGCAGATTGAACAGAAGTCCAAGGGCTTTCTGCTCCCCGTGGTACCGAAAAGTCTCCGGTCAGACTGCGTAGCCTAAACTACTGCCAGTTGAGCTACCCATTACTCAATGACTGGTGACATTTGTCGCTTGAACTTCAAATGTCTTTTTATTCGCTTTTTCATTTAAAGTGTTTATAATATCAGTTCAAGCTGAGTATTATAGCACTATTCCTGACATACTATGCTGATATTACTGAGCAAGGTATATAATAACAGTCATAGTGCATATTGGCTTTTAGTCGCCTTTTACGACAGGCATGCCTTGCACATTCTATCCCCTGCCCGCAGGGGGAACAAAGAACGAACTGTCAAATTACAAGTGAAAAAAGCCAAATTAATACCATTGTGTTTTTTTTTGCTGTAAATGTTTTAGAAAATAATCAAATTCCGCCGTTAATCATAACGTAACTCACACTGCATTATTAGGAACAATTGTATCGAACTATGTACATATTTATGTGTACAAACAAGTATATACTTACGTATGTATGTACAACAATAAATAATTTCCATATTTGAGCTTGAGTCCAGCAATGTTTTTGCATGATTAGTATTTTCACAAAATAAACTTTTTCCTACAAATTAATTTAAATTTTAATGAGAAACTGAAAAAAAAGTGATTGAATGAGAACAATTTCCCTCATTCGCAGCACACTCATTACTTTTACCAACAATATAACATACAAACCGACGGACAATTTCGTGGGCGTGACTGTACTGTATATTTCCTTTTCGAACACAAGTACACACCCACAACCGAAAAAAAAATTCTAAACGGATCTGCCGCAAGAGTGTAATGCAAAGTTGGAAAAAAAATGGAAACCGGAGCCTCAACGATCCCGCCACCTTGTAAAGTCGCCTTGTCGGACATGTGTTTTTCATTTCGTTAAAATTGAGTGCTTCC